AAATACAAATTTAAATTATAAAAAAATTAGCCGCCTTCTCCTACTCAGACGCCCGGGGCAACAGTACCCTGTAGCTCCCCCTAAATACGGCCCTGATCTCGCACACTTGTATACTATAGGTAGGTACTAAATAATKTTATCTGTATTTTAAAATTAAAAGTTTTCACATAAAATAAATAATATAATAGACTACATTCATCTATTAAATAGTATAATGATTGTATCTATATAATAATGTATATTAGTGGAGACTAATGTATAGGTAATAGTTTTTGATAATAATTATAAGTTTGAAATCTGGAAGTTCTTATATATGTGTTGTAATTTCGCCTTTCATTTTATAACGTCGGGTGTACTCAACTTATATATATACGTACATTATGTATTATATATTGTTTGCTTTTTGTCTAGACACTGTTTTGAGGGTGATAAATGTTCTTTAATTCTTTCACGTAGCGAGTCCATTAATCGAAAATTAGATGTAGATTGTACTTCAAGTTTTTAAAAATGGCAAAACTCCCATTATTTTTCGAAACAACGGACAGTTTTATCGGTTGACGCTTCCGGTCCTCGCGGTACACCGAGTACGCGGTTTACTCAGAGGATCCATTCCCACACGTGCACGTACAAAACTTTCAACCATTATTGGCAACAAGTTAAATGTATTCGTAGCTCAAAATATAAATCGCTAAGCGGTTATGTGTAGCCATAATATTACATCTTTAGTAAAATGTAATATCAATGGAACGAAAAAAAGAGAGATTGAGAGAAAGAGAGGTTGGATGTTAAGCTTATCAGGTTTTTACGTTTTGCAATAATATAATAAACAGTAAAAAAAAAAAAATGTACAATCGCGGGACTTACATGTGACTGATATGAATGATAACGAAGTAACTCATAAATTACTACACACTCTTGAATTCGTTTACTTTAATGAATTTTTTATATATATGTATATATATATATATATATATATATATATAACATAGTTGTAGGATTTTAATTTCAATCGTTCAACGATATGTATAGCATCTGAAAATTCAATTCTCACTTTGGTCGTTCCTCGGGGAGGAACTTGTATGTGTTAACGGTTAGATTCACCAAAACTTGTATGTGTCTTCTCATAAAATTCCATCCGTTAATCAAAAAGTTTCAATTCTTTTTCCTGTCTTGTTTGTTTTTAAAAACCCATRATTTCACAWTCAATCAAATCGGAAAATATTCCCTAGATAATATATTTCAGAATAAAATTCAGCTCTTCACCGTTATAAAAACTATCTTTTAAACGCACCAGAATACAGTATTTTAATTCGAAATCCGTCAAAGGTGTTCAAATAAATTTTCATTTTCATTTTAACTTTTAAGTTGCCATGAAAACCTCAGTGAAAAAATAAAAATAACAACAGTTGGGTAAGTCCTACCTAATTTTCAATAAATATTTGAACTGAAGGTTGGAAAGTTTTCGATGTGATCGATTTGAAAATAACAATTCATCTTCCTTGTGGATATTATACCCACGCGCATATATTAATTATTGTATGTTAATTTTTGAACCAAAGGGACAGACAGCACACATAGGGCATAATATGTATTTCGTACGTACATTGTTATTCGCGTGTCTGAATATTGTTTTGACATAGTAAGGAGTTACGTTAAATTGAGATCTTAGCTAAAATATAATCTACAGACTATTATTATAAATTGTACGAACACTAATAATATCATAACTCATAAATTTATGATTATAATATGAAACCGGATTAATCACTTTGTCAGTGATATATATTATAGTATAATCAATGATATCAAGATTTTATATATTAATTATTAAAGTATTTTTTCAAATTATAATACAAATATTAATCATTGTTAATCTCCCTCGTGAAGATTGTTACTTGGCTGTGAAATATTTTGTATTAAAGTATGATATTAGCCATATTAGGTTTATTATTTGTATTTATGTATAAGAGAAAAATAATACAAGTTTAAGTACTGAATTCTGTACAAGTTATTTTTTTATTCAAATTTTTAATAGATATATAAAATATGTTGGTCGCTTGAATGTAGGAAATATGTAATTTAAAAATAATAAAGAAGAGTGACTCATATATYATGTGAAGATGCATACTTGTACATAACTAATGGGGGATGTAATGAATACATTCTGTTTTGATTCTTTAGAATCAATATAATAATAATTAGTGAACATTTACAATATATCCATTTTCAATAGGATGAGGTATTTATAAGTCAATTTTCATTTAATATCATACCAACCAGCTATATTTATTATGGAATAATATAAAATAAAAATAGCTTGATAAACCACATAGGTAGTATTTATTTTTTCAACTGAATAAAAAAGTATATAAATATTAAAATTTAACCATTGATTTATATATTTCTACGTAAAAATACTGGGAACCTTTAGATTGCGTCTTATAAAAACTTTTTTTAAGCAGAAATGTAAAAATTGAACTAAAAAATTGAAATAAAGATCATTTTAAAATAACTAATAAGTAATAATCAAAACTGTTTCATCTTCTTTCACAATATTTATACCTATTCAATTTATTTTGTTTGAACCATATTATGATGAAAATGTATTTCAGTATGCTWWCTTATGAATAGTTTTTATCAAAATGTATTACATTTCTTACCTACTTTTAATCATTTACAAATTTATATATTTTAATTATGTAATTTTATTATTTACTTATTGTCATCTATATAATATATTGTAAGATTTTATGTTCCAAGTATAAAAAGAAAAATTAATTGCAAAATAAACATTAACATCATTATTTGTTTTCAAAAATCAATTGAACATTTGAAAAACTACAAAATACCTACAGAATAATAAAATAACAGCTTAGGTAAATAAAAATGACAATAGCATATTAAGAACCTAACCTACGTACAACATATTTTAAAAGAAATAATCTGAAATAATCTGAATAAATCTTATATCATAAATGTATGATTTTTTTTTCGTAATTCGAAAAAATCTCAGTATTTTTATTAATATAGTTTAATTGAAATGTTAAAGATAAAAATATAATTATCTATCAATGATCGTTTTAAATATTTGTGTAATTCATTATTTAAATATAAAACATAATACAAAWCTATAATGGCATTAAATAACCTTATTTTTCTGGTATATAAATAATATTTCATTTTTCAAAGAACATATATTGAACAAACTTGCTTCCAGTACTAGCAAAAAAATTCATAAAGAGTTAACAACTATTTAAATTTGTTCAGTCAATAGTCACGCCTAAAATAAAATTCCTTATACAATATAACRGATCACTTAAAATCGTAGGAATAACATTGATTTTCACAATTATCTGAAGCCGTTTAAAATTTTTTATAATATGGGTATCTAGTTCTTTTAAMTTTATAAATTATTAAAAAGTCAATTTGAAAAACTAAACATATTTTTCATTATTAACATACTCATCCCACCAATCATTAGTTATGATAAGCTTTTATATTTTTGTAACTGCAAAATTAAACGTCGAATTTAATGTGTCACAAGTTGTGACTCACAACACATTGGAATTAACACAGTGGATTCCACAAGGAAATACAGGAATCACTGAATCATTGTTCATGTACACAACATTATAATATTAAATATACGTTGCCCGTGGGTGTCACATTTAATGTATAGTTGATGACGAAGCATATTTCAAAAGTTTAAAGAGTTATAGTTTTGCATTAAATTACTATTGTATTGTCATTTTTATGCTTACATTACGATACCTGTAATCGCAAATCGCAAAAAAAAAACTAATTGACTATTTGAATATATTTAAATATTCCAAAAATCAGATATTGAATAACTTCATTATTGAAGAAAAAAGGGTTATAGCATGCTTGGTTATTTACCCTGGCCTAACCTCTGTTTTTTAAATTTTTTTTTATTAGTTTTTACTGTTTTTAGTATACAACTAAGATAGCTCAACAATTATAGAATTATTCATAATTCAATRTTATTATATTTAGGGTTGAGCAAGATACTCAAAAAGAAGTATTGAAATACTAGACACAAGATACTTTGCTTTGGAGTATCGCGATACAAGATACTAGATACTTGGCTTTGGAGTATCGCGGTACTAGATACTCGATACTCGATATATTTTAATAAAATTAGTCACTGGATTTTTAAAAATTATGAGGATGAGCACTTTATCAAGTAATTATTAGAATAACAAATAAAATAATAAAAACTAACACTTATTCAGTAATAATAATACATTAGTAATAAAACAAAATAAAACAAACCAATCGTGTCACATATATATGTATATATAGTATACAATATACATCACACATATAACTATATTTTATGATTTATCGGTACTGGGTTGAAAAATTATTTCTAACAACTTACAACATTAAATAAAAATATTAATTTCTAAATCAATTATTATTATTATTATTATTATTTCTTATTAATTTGATAATAAAACCAGAATTGTATTGTATGTTGTATCGCATCATAAATTATTTTWTGAAATACTAGATACATTGACTAAAAATGTGTCGCGATACAAGATACTCGATACTTCATATAATTGTATCGAGAATCGAGATACATGATACAATTGTATCTAGGATACTGCCCAATCCTGATTATATTACATTTAAAAATTATATACCTAATAAAGGTCTTTCTGGTTAATTTTAGACATTAGTATTATATCAAAAGTATACTTTTAAAACATTTTATTATCTAATTATATTGAAGTAGAAGTTTTTAAAACTATAAATATAATAATCTACGTGGTGACGTATAGAATTAAGTATGAATGAGGTAGTTTAAAATGCCGTAAAACGTATTTTGCATGCATGGTTGACGGTCATGTACCTATAGTATAACCACACAGGCACACTGCACTTAGAATTTTGAGCATTTAAAATTTTGGGCAAGTAGTATCGATATAGATAAATATATTGTATATCGAACCGACAACGTCTTATTGTTTTAGGCGGTTACAGCCGGGAAATAACAACAAAAAACAGTGTGATCAACAAACGCAGATATCGGACGCGGTGTCAGCTGGCGCCAGTGACTCGAGGAATTTCMGGTTGAAGACGCTCAGACTTCAATTGAACATGAACCCGTCTACACTGAACTTGAGGTACATTCAYGCATGGTTTATGTATATATACGGTCAAGTTTACATCACTGCAGACCGCTTGACTGTCCATATAACTGTTATAGGTTTGTGATTTATAAAAATGTACCGTCGTGGTGGTTACACATTTTTAACGTACGGCCAATAATGATCAATATTGTATTTAATACACCTATGCACTGCATTATATTGTACTCGTGTCGTGTGTAAGGAAAAAAAAAGTGATTGGAGTTTTTTCCTTGATATTTTCAATTTTATTTTTTCCGACCAYCGGCGTTGCAGGCCACCTTATAAAGGTACCTTTTGTCAGAGGATAAATAAAATGTATAATAGGTATCCTGATCTAGGTGAAGGAAAAGCTCACGTCTCGTCTCCGTCGGTGGTCGGTTTATGGATTTTTGTGCACTTTTCACCCGGCGAACGGAGAAAACTGATTTCTACCCTATTGTGAACATCCCGTACACCGGATCAATCAACCCGAGGAAACAGCCGCCCCCTCCCCCGTTTCACCGCACGCAATGAATGGAAAACATTCCGACGTCAGACGAATGGAAGCCATTGAATATTGACGGACTGCATCAGGTTTTTACCCCATATACCTCTGTTGTTATAACATACGTTATACAATCTTAGACACACGGATTACGARGTGCCTACMTTTACAGAACGCGCAGTAATAGCCACGGAAGAAAAAATATTACCCAAACGCTCAGGAAATACAAGCRAAATAAACGCGTTGGTGTAAAACTAAAGTACGCGATTGACGGATTTGATTGCGTTAAACAATACAGTTTAAAAAAAGGCCGCARTTYGACGGACGGAGAAATGATTGCTGTGCGGGTTTTTTTAAATCATGACTTAATTTTAAATACGCATTAAATCCTTTTGGTTATGCCAGCCACTTCGGCTCCATAACCACCGTCGTGCGATGACCGTATTCGTTATTTTCATTTGTTCTCGAGAATTATATTAACGAACTTAAACTTAACTAATTGGTAAAACCACTCTAATTACTATTTCAACGGCGTTATAAGTTAGTCSGTAGCTTATTCAAAATACGTTTCTGAGCTCAAATTAAATATTACATTTCGAATACGTATTGTTTAACATATTATATTTTGTACAAACCAGTAAAATTAACATATTGTAATCATGCGATGAACAAAATACATATGAAAAATTATTAAATTACTATTTTAAACGGTTATATTTATTAATTGGTATTGAATAGCGAATACTATAAATATTATGAAAATAATTATTTTCCGTCGGCCTTATAAGTATAAACAATTCATCAGGATATAAGTTTTGAAGAAAGCTTTGCCTCATTATGCGTAGATTGAAGATTATAAAATAATTTCTTATCTCAAGAAAATGTCTGGTGCTATTAATACTACATGGAATTAAAATTAATTAAAAATTAAGCTATTTATGATGTGGATTTTGTTTATTTAACCTAGATGGTGCGATTTAATCATACTTTATTATAATAGTTTATTGTATTAATTATATTATGTATCTTATCGGTATGCCTTATATGCCAATATATTAATTAGGTTATATATCAATCTTATATATTTTTTATATAGTCAATTATGTAATTTTCAGTTTAAAATGAAGTAAATATTAAAAATACACCTAATAAAAGAGCTGAGAAAGCTACAGTTGTCTTGAAATTTTAACAACAATTTAATACTGAACATTTTCCAGTTTATAGAAATAATATAAGAATATTTTGGGAAAAAAAAACAAATCATTCAGCATTGTATGACCAAAAATATAGAACCATCTCTGAATATGAAAATTATTATTTATGAACCAATGAAAAATATATCAATCAGAATATTTCAGATCGAGATGAAATGGTATCTTCACATAAATATAATATATATGTATAATATATTTAAAAGTGTCTATTAGATTTGTATTCATAGAGATTTAAGTTTAAAATAGAGAGGTTTTAAACTTGACCTATTTTTGCTGTATAATAGTATGTCTTTCTTCTCTCTAAATTATGCGTTATATGTGACAAAGTTTTTGGGTTGTAAAAATTCTTTAAAAGTTTCACGGAACAAGTTCTTTAATTAAAAGAATCAATTTATCGAATGTWTTAGTTGTTTGGAAGTGTGAGTTTAATAATAAAAAATGAAACGCGTTTTTAAAGTATGAATGGACTTTATCCGAAACAATATATTATAATAAATTTTAATTTTAACTATACAAATTCACAATTTTAAGGGATTGATGCAGGCAATTATTAATAATTTTAAATACCAATTCAAGTAACTTACAAATATCCACATGCCAGTTTCACTGTTAATTTAATTGGCGTGTAATCATTATGAGAATATAATACAGAAAAACGGTTCGCGTGAAAATAACTACTTAAGGTGAATTAGAGGATGCCAGTGAACTATTAATTTTCTCTATCCAAGCCACACGTAGCATACCAAATTCGCGTTTAGCTAATCTAATTTAGCGTTGTTAGCTTTAATAATAAAGTGTGAATTTCCTACTATCAGAATTAATGATAACAATCAGTATTGATTAGCCCATGGACTTTTATTGATATTTTTAACTTTAAAGCTCATCAATGCATTTTAAAATCGTTATATGGTTTTCCTAACCAAAGCTATGAATGTCAGTGTGTCRTACAATATTTATGTTGAGTAATAAGATAACAATGACGTTTCGAATAAAATAACGCGTCCTTGATCTTAGACTATAATGTACGACAAAAATAATATACAAGTAACCTATTCAAGTGTATAGCACTTAATTGTTGTTATTCTTATATATTTAATGTATCYTCCATTATTTRGATAATATCCAGCGACCATTTTATTATACGAAAGGCCATTTAATAACCTTAACCATATCCCTACATATTATAATATAATGAATACAGTATCATATCATAATTTASCTTATTACTATATCTTCGATATTTTGTATTAGTGAGATATYAGAAAATAATATTATGTTACTTAAAAGTACTAGGTARKGCCACTTTGGTATTTAATATTTTCTTAACATTGATTTCTGAATACAYGCATGCATAGCCTTTAAAATCGGAGAATTAGTTTTAAATAATTTAATTTTAGTGTAATTAATAATCGTGTGTTGGTGTATACTAATAGTGACTACAAAATAATTTATTTTTATAATTCTATTAATATTGTATTGTAGTATATAGATACTTAAAATTAGCCAATCGCTTAAATAAAATAGTTTTAATCAATTTCTCATGGGTTTATGATATATAGATTGAAATATTATATGGTTATCGTTATTTATGAAGGATAATTATTATAAATATTTTTGATCAAATTAATTTGTCCATACTGAATAATGACTGAAAACTATTGTTTTGAGACATACATAGAATGTTCATATAGTAATTGAATAACAATGAAAATGTCGTTTATTTGGTTGTCAAGTATTCATAAATTATTAAATACTATATATATTCTATACCGTCTCAATCACTTCAATTTTCAACTATATCTAAGATGTAAAATGTGTTCAGTCAGAAGTAAAGTTTAAAAATTCAATAGACACAGCAATAAAATAAAATATTATGTTAGTTATCATGTGTATAGAAAATTAAATTTCATCATACACTACTAACAAGATACTTATTACTGAATATCATTTAACTTCTATAGTATAATAATATGTATGCATAATGCGTATACCTGAAATATAAAAATCCTATAAAATAAATTTCAATACAAAAAAATAAAATAAAAATAACGTCTWTTTAACACAAATAAAGACTATAAGATTTTTTGGAAATTTCTCGCCACAAAAAAAAAAACGATATGAATACATATAAAAACATATTATGGATAAATGCTCAGTTTTCATGTAATTATAGATTTTCCATAAATACGAACAATACTTCTCTAATCGAAATAATATGTGTGTCAAGATAATTAAAATGCATTATATTTTAAAACAGCTACTTCATCTTAATGCTCATTACTCTCAATTAAGCACTTATATGATCTTCTATTAATACACCTAGATAAATTAATTATTATTACTTGTATCATTATACCTATAGGTATTTATTTATCGATGTAAATTACTGAAATTCATTATAAATATTGTAATTAATTACGCTTACTAATTCTAAATGTTAAATATTCTATTGTGTTATCAATAAGTTTGACGACTTGTATGTCAGGAACATTTAATAATAATAATAAAAAAGATATAATATATGATCTTGAATTAAAAATATAGATTTATAAAAAAGGTATAAATGTAATTTTTCTAAAGACATTTTCAGATATCATAYATATATTTGATGCACGCRCATTCAAATAAAAAAGTAGGCAAGTGGGTACCGCTTTGATGTATAGTAAAGATGGAAAGTAGGTCACTTTAATGGATATGTTAGATTTGAATGCAATGACAGGTATCATTGTACACGAAAAACGATTCTGAACTAATTATTATTTTTTATTTATATTATTGTTCAATTAATGCATAGGAAACGATATTAGAATAAAAAAATAAAATACACATTACAATGATATACGCGTTTACAGATTTCTTGCTAACAGACAGAAGCGCCAGAGCCTGGCAGCCGCCAACGCCGTCAGAACTGAACAAAAGGCCAGCAAAGTGTTGGGAGTCGTGTTTTTCACGTTTGTGTTATGCTGGTCACCATTCTTCTTGTTGAACATTGTRTTCGCTGTCTGTCCAAAGGAAAACTGCCCGGTACCAGACCACGTGACCGAGGTTTGCCTCTGGTTGGGATACGTGTCTTCGACAATAAACCCGATTATCTATACGATATTCAACAAGACCTTTAGAGCCGCATTTATCAGGTGATTTTAAATTTAGCAAAAGGCTTGAAATTAATTACAGATACATGGGGTCAGTGTCGCAGTATCTAAAAACACTAATTATGTTGAGTAGGTATGAGTTGTTACGATATTAGGTATTCTATACAAGTAACAAGCTCAGTTTTGTTGAAAGATATGTGTAATATAATTTTTTCACTAATCTCATACCACGTTTTAATATACCTAGCGATAAAAACGTTATACTTTCATTGTTTTATCATATATTTTATAAGAAAAAAAGAAGGGTGAGATATGCCCCTCCCCCCTGAAAGCCTTCTAAATACAACACAATACTTTTTTTATATACTCACCGATGGTTCTCAGTGTTATAGTTTTGTTTAATAGTACAGACTTTCTAACGATACCAAAAGAAAAATACAAAAAACTCTGATGTTAAAATATTGCGKACAACATTATTGATTAAAACTGTAGTGGCTTGAGGTAGGTTTCATTCGGACGGATTATTGAAACGGGTTGGTCGAGAATATTGCGGAGCTGTAATTAAATTTACGATCAACGGAGTGTTCTTAGAACTTTCCAATTAAAAAAAAAACTAACGTAGGTAGGTAATATAAACAAAGTTAGTTTCCATTGTGTTTCAGTGTAATGTTTTTTTCAGATTTGTCCGACAAAAATGTAGTACCTACGATGACAAATTTTATTGCCTCTAAATATTATTGAATAAGATCGATCAGGGGTATATTTCGAAAAACTTCGAGTACATTGTTGTTAGAAAAACCTTAATATTTTTTMATTTTTTTTCCGTATAAAAAGTGATGTCCAAATCCAAATTACTGTGGTCTTACGTAAGGATGATTTGAAATACATTATCTCGTTATAGTGGTTGCAGCTGATAACTCGTGAATTATCGCATCGCCGCTCTACTCATCTTGACTCTTTTAATCCGCACGAATAGGAAAAATTAAAACTTTTCGTTTTTACGTAAGCCGCTACCGTTTACATGGCGATTAACCCAAAAATTAATATATTATTATGGCCTGTAAAATTCAAATCCAAATATACGTAATGGGTTATGAAAAGTATAAAACAACTAAAAAAAAAAAAAACAAAGTAAAATGTGCAGATGTATTTTTATATAATTACCGTAATAACAATAGTGGTATTATCATAAAAAGTAACGTTAAAATGATAATGACGAAACAAATTACGTTTGACGTAGTATAGTGGTGTTTTCTACCCTCACGCATTGTAGCTGTATCGGGTTGGGGAACATATTATAATATGTACAAGTAATTTAGTGAAAGTTTTTTATCACACAATGTTTCAAAATATTTACTTATTATATTTATCATAAGTTATTTTATGTTTTTACACTTAAGATTATATAYTATTATTATATCCGTAGTTCAGGATTTAATATCAAAATTACACAGGCAMATGTGGAAATTAACTAATCAAACTGTTAAAKATAAGTCATAAAGTTGTAAATTTAAAAATATTAATATATTATTATAGTTATATTTTTTATAACTGAACTAGGTAGTTGAAGTATCAATTTCAAAAACATAGGTTTTCCAGTTAATTTGGTTAACTTAATATTACATAGAATATAAATATGTATAATGTATTTACCTACAAATTATTTAACTATTTTTCGATAAATAACGCCGTATACAACTATTTTAAATAATAAACTTATAYTGTTAAATTCTTGGATTTAAAATGCATTTGACACTAGCGTGAAATTGCCTAAACAATAACAGTTTGTGTGCAATAACAGGAAATTGTAGAATACATTTTAACATAGATAGGTGTGTTTTTGAGCTGGGTACAACTTTTTTTTTAAACAGATTTCCTCAAATCCAATTTTCGTAACGTTGTGTTTATTTTCATATAAACGTAAGTAAAAAAAAAAATGTTATTAAATCCCTAGTAAAGTTGAAAACATAACAAGTAACGTGCTACTTAAAATTTAAAAAATAAATATTTACTAATCGTTTAAACATTTTAAAGTATCAATCAATTAAAAATAAATAAACATTTGAGTTAAATGTGTCAAGATAAATTGTCCATATTATAGTAGCTTCAAACATAACTCAACTAACTGAATTTAATCTTTTTTCATTATTAATTTGCCAATCGTTATACTATTATATTCATTATATGTACCCGTAGCATTGTATTGTATAGCCTTACGATTTGGATGAGTATTTGATCAATGGTGGGTCTGACMAATTTCCAGTATCTGTTTCACTTGATTCGGATCGATTTTTTTTTTATCATTATCCGTTTGTTTCAGGTTGCTCAAATGCCGATGTCACAAGACCAGACCTCACCGGTACAGATCGGTGACCGACAACCGACATTCTGCGCTGATAAGCACTCCGTCCGGTGCGGCTGCCGGAGCTGCCAATGTTCCGTTGTCCTTGTCGCTCCAGACCACGCCACTGATCACATCGCCGCCAGTAAATAATGCCAACACTACGACTTTCGCCGATACCGCCGTTGCCGCTATGGCTGCCGCCGCTGCGTCTAAGAAAACGACATCCACGCCCGAGTACCCAGACTCATTTCTCGTCCAAGAATGCACGAAGGACACGGCCAAATACTGAACCCGAGCGGGTTGTAGCAGTTCCCGCTCAGACGATTTTGTCTTGAAACTTGAAAATATACGAGTACCTATATGTTGTTATTATCATTATATTTATGTTGTCGTAATATAACGGTTATAGGTAACATTAGATCTCATAATTTATTGTCATGTCTGATGGAACCTAGTTGTTTCGTATATTAGACGTATTACCTAATATGTTAACTACAATACTACATATTATAAAGGGCGTGTTGTAGAAGGAAACCATTAGGTATTGTAATATTAACTTTGCTATAATATTATGTAAAAWTTTTTGTTGCAATCAAAATTTCGATAATTATATTTATAATATTATACTAAAAAAAAAAAAATGTAATTCTCGTTATGGTGATTATAACAGATATTATTACATAGTTGGTTAATATTACATTTTCCAAATAATTCAACCCTCCAGATTTACGTGTGTGTACTGCAGAATGCTCCGGTTTCCCTACCGCCGATGTCTCCATCTGAAATCGTGGGAATATGTAAAACCAGAGTTATTATATATTATTATTATCATATTAATAGACATATCACAATAATATGTGTCCACTCTTTATTTTCTATTTTCCTCCTCCCCTCTTTCGCTCGCTCTCTGTCTACACTCTTGCCCTCCCGAAGGAATCTATACAAGCGCTAGTATTTATAAGTTTTCGGAGTAAATCATAAATTGGGGGTTCAGTGGCGTGCAGGAAATAAAAACATCCATTGACGATGGAGAGGGCCGATCAATCTTTATGAATAACCATCCTTATGAAAAACGCACACGCACAGGAGACTGGGAAGTAATATTATATAACTTATCACACCTCTCGGTAGATGAAAAAAATAATAATAAGGGTACACTACAGTTTTTGGCAGTTAAACTGATGAAAACCGGGCCTAAATACCCAAAAATAGGATATTGGTATAACGAGTTTCGTAGAATAAGTGAGAGAAATAAGAGCTTGACGAATTCTTTGCATAAATAACTATTATATTATTATTATTATTATGACTTACACGTCGAAAATATTATATCAGTGTTTTTTTCATTTTTAATTTCGTTATTATTTAAAATCTATAAAAAGTTTAAGTAGTAAATAATATTATAGGTTCGCGTTAAGAATATCAATGCACAATTTTTGAGTATAGGTACCAAAACATTAAGATGTTAATAATATTCTTGCTATCGTAGTATCKTATATTTTTAATAAACAAGTAGTAGTTAATTTATTGTTATAGTATCAACACCGATGTTTGACTAACTGATTTACTGATTTGTATAATTCATAATTATTTATAGATAGCTAACATTAGTTATACAATAAACAATATTATAAGCATAGTACTTTTAGAAGTAATTCATTATAGATTAGCTATAATTATTCATTTATAATAATAATAATATTTTTTTTATATATAAAAATGAAGAAGTGTGTTATTAATGTCTTATGTTACGTTCAAATTAATTTATACTTGTATTATATAAAATGTGCGTGGAAAATTAGTTACTTTAAATTTAAAAATATTTTAGTTAAATAGTACTTATATAAGATTGATTATCAAAACAAAAATAAATTTTAACGTTATTATTATTTAAGGATAATTCTGTTTTAAATTTAAAAATAATATATAAATTATATTATAACAAGTGTAAAAGTGTTCATTGGTATTTATTATAAAAGTTGAAGAATAAATAAAATTATAAAATTAAAATCGATGTGGCAATTGCTTATTTTAAATACACGACACTTACAAAATTTTATTATTATAGGTACTCTGTTATAGATATTTTAAACTAAGTCAATAATTAATATAATATTTATTGTTGGATTTACATGATATGTCTAATTTATGATTAAACCCACCTATGTTGGGACTTGGGCTTTCTATTATAGTCACAATTAGTTTAACTTTTTTTTTAAACCAGCAAAAACTAGGACGGGGTGGGAACTATTTATCTTACTACTACCACCAGGACCCATAACATTTATTCACTAACTTGAGAGCTACACACACGTGAGGTCTTTAAACACTCTGAAAGCTATACTTCGGCTCACAATAAATATAACTAAATTTGTGAATAATACATTTACATAATATATTACTGTACAGACTCTGTAAAACTCAATTTCTCCGAAAAATTTAAACCAATGATTTTAAATCACAATTGAAAAGATTACTATTTTTTTGTTATTTTATAAAATTTACATTATACAAATTTCGATGAATTGTTAAAATCATAGTTTGAATACGTCTTGTTTTCATAATTCGATGTTATATTTTGATTTAACAATGACACAATGTTATTTGAAGCTAATTAACTTAAACAGCAATGATTAGTTGTAGTTTTTATGCAACTCTAATATAGACAGCTCCATAGAAGTCCAGGAACGTAGACCCGGGCAATTATTTTTCAATTGCTTGTTACTAAACGCGACTATTATGCTTCAATTGTTTGGAAAAAATGTGTAAAGTATACATCGTTAACAAAATGTTGACGTTATTCTTTTGTCCACGTGATTCAATAAAATAATATATATTATTTTTAGTTTTATTGATTKCATACCTTTGAAAATTGGTTTGATGTTTACGCTGTATGATTTTTGTATCAAAACCACATAATTATATAATAATCATTAAATAAAATTATTATTATGAAAAGAAGTAGGTGTTATATTATAAACGCACAATATCGGTCAAAAATACTCATTAACGAAGCTTGATTATAAGGGTGGCTTTAATGACGCTGGATCACTTGTAACATAATGCTATGTGGTCGGTATTTGCTATTACGAGCAATACGTATACACACGGTTTTAACCAAACACCACGTACAAGTGGCATACTAGTATAAACACTTCATCGTGTATGGGTTGACAATATTGTATTTTTATAGATTTGATATAAAAAATACGCATATATTTGTACCATTGATTATACCACGAACGATTTTATCACATTTAACGAATTTCGTTGACAGATCACAGGTACAGGCTAGGTATGAGGACGTTTCAAAGTATACGCTGCATATTATTATGTGTTATTAATTTTTGAAATTAGTGCTCCAAAAACTCTAAAGTTATTCTCATTATTCCAGTCAACCGAGTTTACTAATTTTGCTTTAATTATTATTACTGTCATTAAAATAAATTCAATTTTTGATAATACTATATTTTTTTATGGCAAGTTCTGTTTTTAACATAAGAACTTATATATTTATAATTAATACATAATAAACACAATAATATTAATTATTACAGTATAATAGTACAATACAATTATAAGACAATGTTAATAATTTAAGGTTAAATGTTGATTTTAGTTTCATCTACCAAAGTTAGCTGATGTCTTGTTTTTATATTTATGTATATTTAGTTAAAAGTAAATTACACAAAAACTTCTAATTTTTTATGTTGTATATATATATATATATATAATATGTAATGTATAGTGAAATATCTATCATTCTTATGTCCAATAATAAAAACAGCTTTGGACAATTGATTGACTTATACCTTAACCAATATCCCTTCGCGCATATCTGTAATTTTACAGCTTGAAAGTTGTATTAAGGATTGTAATCAATCGGAAGTTTTCAAAGCACAATGTATAAAATTATGATACTATACATTTTTAATTTATATTAAATTATAATTTATAAGCCCTATACTTAGAATTGTTCTATTTCCTATTTTCCTAGAGGGAAATATTTCGAATGAAAAGAGTAGGTATTTATGATTTGGTGGTATATTCTCAAAGAGTCAAATTAGTGTAAAAAGTAATACTCCTAACTCTTATTATTAATATCAATTGATATTATATATTTAAACCTAACCTATGTAATCATTGTAGATACTAAATCATATTTAAACTAGTTATCAATGAATAAAATAAAATAATATATCATTATAATTGTTATTAGGTACAAAAAAGAACACATTTATAAATAATTCCGAACTTTAAAAGTCCTCTAATGTATCATAGAACTCTTATTTTTTTTTCTTCATCTTTTTCCTCCGTCGGCRCWTGTACTTTGATTAACACAATGTGAAGATCTTTATCCTCCAGGGTTAATGTTCAGATTTTCGGGTTTACATCTTTGAACGCTTTAATCATATGTATAATCGAATCGTGTATAGCGAAACCAGTCCCTAGTTTGTGACCTCGTTCACTTCTCCCATTTATGATTGTTGTTTATTATATCTTTGTTGTACCCGCGTCCTCTAATCTCACCTCTTGCTGGCATTTCATTTTATATCTCTTTAACCCTCTTACTAAGTCCACAGTTGCTCCAGGTTTGTATAGTGTTCGTATATTCCAAGTACAACCTTTTAATTCCTTTTAAATTTCTTTAATTATAATTGTATTTAACTATTTTAATTTGAACTTAGCGATATATAAAACCATTAAATCTATTTATAATAAAATATAATATTATAATTTATAAAAAAAAAATGGTTTGTTCAAAACGATGCGCTGCACACCGACTTAAATTTACCAACAATTAAGAACTACATAAAGGATCTATCGGCAAGCTTCTTCTGTCATCTACGCAAAACAAGCGGTCCACAATATTTCGGGTTAAATGTCAGCTCTATCGATCGAAGAGTAAAACGAGGTCGTCCTCATGAAGTGCTAAATTAGATTATCTTCAATGAAAATTCTATTGTATATCCGATATCGTTCATTGCTTGTAACACTATCTTAAATCTATTAATGTACATCGCTAATTTGTTAACCTAGTTATTTACTACATATTATGTTAATATCGTTTTTATAAATTGCTAAAAAATGTATACATTATACCTAAGTTTAGATGATTTTGTCAGGAAAACTTTATAAATAATAAAAATGATGTTATTATTTTATCAATGTTATTGCATTTTTATAGCTGCAAAAAAGGGGTTATATGTAGGCAATATAATATACG